GTTGCCGTGCTATACAGGTATGTGTACACACTGGCTTTACTAGGCGATCTACGGACTGGGTCGGCGTACTGTGGTATGATCGGTAAAGGTTATATTTAGATGTGGCCACCGTAATTCATGGATCACACTTTGGTGGCTTGGCATCATGTCAAAAGACTTGCACTTGCACCACTATGGTCTGATCCCTGCTTTAGGTCAGAATTATTCACGTGAGTGGCTGCACGTCGGGCGAAATCATGCATTTGTAAAGTTCTTTTCTTCCTTGTGCCTCTACGCCTAGATAGGGAAGGATACCGGCCTCTTGTGACGTTTCCTTTCACATGCCTAGGGTAGTCTTAAAGAATTAACGGCAAGGCCTCTTAATGCTGAGGTCACATTTCCAAACCGGGGCTCGGTCGGGTAGTCTTATGGAACGACAATTATGATATAAAAGACAACAAAGCACAAAAAAGTGTAAAAAATATGCCAAACTATCTGCATATATTTTTGATATAAATTTGTGATTTTTCGTTAATCGAAACAGCCCGGCCGGGCCCCGGCATTAACTAAGCTATTTTCCCTATAAAACATGACTCTTACGTTAATCAGACCCGGCAAGTGACGCGACGCCGTACGTCAGCGTCGGAAATGGGGCGCGTGTCGACGTTTGATTACAGCCGTCGTTAGTACGGAGTCGAGCCGTGACGCATGTCTCAGGCAGGCGGAACTACCAGGAGACTGCTGCCGTGCCAATCTTCTCTTCCTTAATGGCCCATTAACGGAACGTGAGGTGTTTCTATATCGGTAATTAAGTCGCACTGAAAGCAATTTCTTCTGAACTCGTTCCACATGTTATTGAAAGGGTGGGGTCGTGTCCGATGGAGTATTCGATACCTACTTTGTCACCATTCTTTAGTACCATCAATGACGTTCTACCATGGTACAATAGTTTGAAGAAGACTGGGCTGTAGGCTACCACGTATTTGTTCTCCAAGACAGTGCTCCGACTCTCACTGTTGATGCAAACTCTGATTGCGTGTTTTCACTTCAAAACGTAAGGGGTCGGAGGATGCTAAATGTTTAACTAGAATGATTGATATTCCTGAAGACATGAAGCCTTTAGGTCTTTAATTTGTTGGTTCTCGGATTCGCCTCTTCGTTTTTTTTCTGATTTCCAAAAAAAAAAAAAGATTCTGGTTCTGAATCAACTCAAATATGCTAAGATTTTGTCCAATGTTTGAGGAAAGTCCTTTTCTTCCTAGTTGTTACAACTTTTCATCTATCAATGTAGTGGTTTGATTAAAAGTTCAAAATTCATTGTTTAAATATTGACGCAGCCTTTTGTGTTGACTTCATGGCTCCTATTGTATCATTTGAGGCTATAATAGGATGCCTAGGCCTGTTTTTATTTTTATTTTTTTCGCCCTGTCGCTTCACATTTCTTTATGAAAAAATCTAAGAACAAAGAAATTAAATTGGTGTGGCCTTAGTCGTAGATGACCGGCTCGGAATAAAGAGAAATGGTTGGTCTTATACAATAACACTCCCCTCCACCACCACTACTACTGTCATTTAACATCACCATCAAAAGATATGCAATAGAAGAAGGGCAAACCTCTACAGTGATTTGATCTGGCCGATGCAATTACACGAACACATCCGATTGTGGAAACTCATTACGTTCTGTACGAAATTTGTCTGGTGCGGAGAAAAATTGCTGGCGTCAAACAAGTAACGTCAACATTCATGACATAGATAAATATGCATTAAAGAATCGACCTTCACACACACGTATCGTACCAGAAAGACAAGGAATGGATGTCAAATAAAGGGATATCATAATAGAGCTACAGCATCTCAATGGCAATTCACTATGTTCCTTACTACTTCGAGGGTCCACATCACTCTCACGCCTACAAAACTGTAATGTTTTCGATGTAGTTCAAAACGTCATTTACTGTACGGGTAGATTCTCGTAATTGATAGATCACCAACTTGTCTTGTTTGTATTTACATGTATCTTGGTTTTATCCACCCAGTGATTATGCATGCATTTTGTCAATGTGTTTTACACTCGTATGTTTTTGAGTAAAAGGTATTACATAAGCAATTTGTGCTTTTTGCCCAATACTCAATAAATATATGTGAATAAAAAAATAATAGTATCACTCTTTGACAGTGTCTCTAGTGACGGCCGTTTGACCGAATGTCATTTGACAACGCTAAGTTTGTGTTGCGACATTGTTATCACCGTCTGTACATGTTGGCGTACAAGTGCGCGACATGCAATGTCGACATTATTCACTGTCAGGCGGCTACAGGCAGGGACAGTGATTTAGTGTAACCTGACACGACTGTACGAGAGGTTAAATCTGCCTTTTTATGTTGCATTCAACAGTAATGACTCCCCTGGGGGACACAGGGTCTCGGGCACAGAAACGAGCATCAAACAACGGACTTGCCGATATCGTAATTTAGATAAGATAGAAGATGAACACCATTTTGTAGTAGAATTTAGCCTGTGAAAAGAATTGAACTTTATAGATTGATAACATCGATGTTTCCCCACTTTATATACTTAAGTAATACATACAAAGTTCACATTTCTAATGAACTTAGACAAACCTCTAATCCTTAAACAAGTATGCTATTATATTTTCACTATCACAGAGAAACGAAGAGAATTCGAATTTACGTAGATTATATATAGCGCTAGTACTAGCTTATTCATGTACATGTATATTATTTTGTTTGTATGTAGAAGAGACTCCTTTGTACTTAACCCAGTGGGGTATTTTTGTACAATAAAGGTACTAGTATATTATCAAAACGCGATTCTACAGTAGCAGTCATTGTCATTCCCTCTCTGACTACCATAATTTCCGAGGTTCACCAGCAAGTGCGCAAAGTGTTAGTAATAAGTGATAATTGTCTGGTTCGACAAAGGACGAATAAAAGCTAAGCTTATAATGCAGTGCTGCAGTAAGAAGACGTGTCGCTATAACCTTTGTATTTGACGTCTACCGTCAATCTAGACTTACGAAGGAGACAGACTTCTCCTTGAAGATAATGGCATTCGTATTCTTTAATACAGATGGGGTGGGTCTGAAGGTGGTGCAAGTTTTTTTCGCCCGTCGAGTGGGCTCTACCAGGCCTTTGGTATGATTGTTGTCGTGTTTCAGAGTCTGTGTGTAGATTTATGTTTGCTAATTGTAAACATCTCTAGATCTGTCTGGAGACCACTGAACAGGGCAGATACGCGGTTGTATATTAGAGATTGGGGTATATAATGACCGTCACAATTCGTGTTATCACTATGGATATTATTTTGTTTTACAAACATTTTTGCGGCATTGTCATAGTACCTACTTTTGGGTACATCATAGTAACTGGCATTTCTACAGCGACAAATAATACAGTGAAAGCAAGCTGTTGAAAAGATCCAAACAACATGGATCGACGCTTGCAAAATTTTCATGACGAATAATATATATATATAAGTAGTACATTAACATTTATATTTCTCGTGCATTTTTATCAAGCAATATCAGCTAAACATGTATCTTTTTACATTTATATCATCACGAAGAAGCGAAAATATTCTTGTCGAATCCATGACCATATACACTAGTTTACTGTTAGCGTACTAGTATCATCTTGTATGTATGTTTGTAAGCATGTCGCTGTTGTGAGCTGTGCTTAGCCCAATGGGGCAGAGCTGTACAGACTGTACAGTAAATCTCTTCTTCAAAGGAACAGTTATTTACCTCCCATCCCGGAGAAATACAACCTGCTTTCACGATGTAACAGTGTATGTTATATATTTACACAACACAACAGACGTGGCGGATACGGATCCGAGACATATTTACCACTGCCACTACAGGTGTTGCTACAGCCTTGCACAGACTGTTGGTGCAACAACTGACTATCTATCACCGGCCATTGTTTACGTCAGTACCTCGATACAGAAGAATCATTAGAAGGGGTATATAATGCAAACACTTATCTACGCAAATAGATTTTGTTCCGCGTGTATTTGTTTTGCACCATTTTTGATCCCTGTGCAGATCCGGCTTTGCTTCGGTGTTTAATTTTATGCATGTTTAGTACGTCGTACAAGCAGTGCACTTTTTTGAATAGCAAAGTGCACTGTTACTTGGTTCACAGTGCATTTGGTTCACAGTGCCATGTACCGCCTTCAGTGCACTATGCACAGTAACATCTAGCGTCAGTGCACAGTAAACCAGTCAGAATTGCCCTGATGAAGATGACAGACGGTCATCGAAACGTCGGCTCGTAAAGAATAAATTGTTGTGATCAAAGAACTTTGCTACTCATTCGTTTACCAACTAGATGAAATTATTTACGGAGTGCACTTTTTTTTCTACTCATCGTCTTCTCCTATACGCTCCAACACACGCCTAAAACTGAGCCGGATCCTGCATGCATCTGCTTGGAAATTCATTCATATTCCCGCCATTCGCAAGATGATTAAGCACGGAATAATGTGTCCCCTGACGTGCTAGGGACGTATGCTAATGAGCAGGTTTAGTGTGCTGATGGATGGTGAACCTGTAACCCGCTGACTCACACAAGAATCTGTCAGGGGGAAAATTGACTCGCGACAAACTACCGACTAACTACCCGGAAAGGGCGGCTATTAGGTGATGGCGTTTCAATATACACAACAACATCCGGGCATCGCCCAGCCAAACGTCTGTGACTTGATACTGTAACTGCCCTTTGACCTTGAAAATGGCTCCTATCAGACCAGTTTCTGAGGGAGGCGGGACGTTTGTCAGCCGCAGGTGCGAGCACTTCACCTCAGTTCAACTTTGACCTTGTTCCTGATTGGCCCAGTCGGCCTTGCCTTTCAAACGCGCTCGTGCTTTGGGGCCGGTTCATCATTTTGCCGGTGATAAAAAATCTAAGCGCAGAATGCATTTTATGATCGTTCAAGGCACGTCGTAACCTCTATCCAACATCAACGCAATTTGTGTGCATACGGTGTTACCCACCTCTCTTTCCGGCTCGCCATATTCCACTTTCAGGACCTCCATGGCGCGTAAAATGGACGTGAGGGACTGAATGGTGTTGCTGTAAACCACCGGCTTGAACTGCTGCATGTCATCCGTGGTGAACCCATCCTCGTGGATAATCCTGCGTGAGAAAATGGAATAATAATGATTAAAGGAACGATTCGGAATTTCCGGCGGGGCATCGAATCGGCGGCTAATGAAACGCAGGGCTATCCTCAGTCCGGTGCACGGTTCTTAAGAGCAGGGCGTGACACAAGGGGAAAGGGTGGTGGAAAAACGTAGCAATAAACGAGCCTGCGGTGATTTATTCCTAGTATTAGCTCGCACACAAACAGAAAGGTGTGTCGTATTGAGGCAAAGTACTCACTTCATCTGTTTGACGATGGTGCTTTTTCCCGACTCGCCCGCACCTGGAGGGAGAGAGAGGGGGAAAGGGAACAAAAGGCTGAAAGGCGATTTTGTTTTTTGTGGAACGATAAACGATCGACCGATGCATGTATTTATTCATTCATAATAGATGCACGTCCGAGTGCTTGGCTGGCTGTTATAGAGGATCCCATGCCGGGCACATATGCGCCCCTCCATTACACCGGCTGGCTGCCGAGCGTTCATTCCGGTCCCTCCCTACAGAAACCACCCTACCGCCCGAGAATAAACCCGCTCCTTACCTAGCAGGAGAAGCTTGATATCCTTGGCAGCCACCAAACCGTCCTCTTTTAGATTCTTGTCGATTTGCTTGGTTTTTTCAATGGCGGCCCTTTCCTCTGCGCTCATCGTACACCCCATGGCGGCAGCCCTTTTCCTCTCCTCGCCGCCGCACCTGCACAAAGCCCCGCTGCCGTCGCACACCCGTCTCGTGCACCGGAATAAAAGGTATCCAAACCTAGAATCCCGACTCGGCAAAATCCACGGGCGTGGCACGTTACACACACACACTCGCACACACTCAGCGGAGTCCGCTAGTCCTGGTCGCCGGCACCGATTTTCCGCGGGTCCCCCGCCCGATCCTCATAGCTCGCAGTACAGCATACTAATAAAACGGTCAGAAAAATGACGTGGGATCCCCTCAGGCTTCGGCTCTTACGTTTATCGTTCGCGGGGGGTCGCTTCTTCCCTGGCCAATCAGGAGCGCGCACCCATCTCGGGATGAGGACGCAGATCCAGCGCAAGAGGAGGAGAAAACCCTCAGGATAAAAAAGTATTTTTGTAATAAAACACCGTTTGAAAGGGGTTGTTGTTTTTGTTTGTTGGTGAGCGGTATAGCACAGGTGCTCAGTTTGCGTGTGCCTGATTGATTGCGATAAGCGGCGGACCGGAGTCATATTGGCAAACGTGTTCGGTAAACATCACGGTCGGTAGTATAAACAACACGGGACCATTATAGCCGGCCTGACACGCCCGGACCAGCGCATATGCTGTTATTATGGATTGTTGACGGATTTTCCGCTGTTCCTAAGGCCAAACTATCTTCTATTTTTGGTTCTCAGATTTCTCCGCTTCATTTCTATTTATTTGTTATTTCGAACAAAAACACGCATATAGTTTTTGAATAATGAATTGCCTCTGTTAATGATTTGGATACCATTTTTCATTGCCTTCCTACATGTTATAGTTTTTGTATTTATCAATGCATATTTATACCGCCATGGCAGCCATAACGTCAGCAGCATGAATTTTCAACTTTTAGATAAATTGAAAATTCATGTGTGCACGTTGACTTTGTGGTTGCTGTAGTCATATTCTGCCTTATCATTCTTACCTTTTCATTCTTGTCTTTATCACGCCCGCCCGCACCATCTATTTCCTGTAAGGACACAAGAACCCAGAAATTGAATCGCTGTGGGCCAAAGCCCATGCATACGGTAATGATATACAACTATATACATGTTGGCAGCGTCAGGGGATCGTTTACAAGCAATATCCAGACGTTTATCGCTACATTTATCAGACAATGCCTCATAAAGGCTTCAGGTAAAAATCATAAATTCATCGAAAGGGGGGCAAAAATATCATCTGAATTTTCTGTTGGAAACCGAATTATGATTCAAGTTTCTACAAGGGATTTTTCCCGTGTATTTTTTTATGTGTCCAAAACGAGATTGCAGGCCAAACAACGTACGTGCGCATGCGCGGCTGGTTTGCCCGTCGTCTGTGTTATACATGGTGGCTGGGTATCGGATTACCTAAGCTCTCGGCATAATCTGTCCGGATAAGGCGTGTAATGGGGGATTAAGCTTGAGTACTATATCCAAACAGATGTTGGGGTGGGAGATTTTTACTAAGTCGCATTAGGCCATGTTGATCTGATTATATGGATGACATCCACGCGCGCATGAATTTTCGTCCGTTTCCATAAAAGACAAGTTTTCGACCATACTGTAAATCGTAAAAAATGAGCGAATATATGTAGAATGTTGCAAAATGAATTATTGGAAAACGATACTAATGTTATAGAATGCAGAAATCAATTCAGGAAAAGAAGAAAATGTGAACAAATGAAGACGAAGAGTCTAGTATTATTCCCCATACCATACTCTGTGTGTTTAGTCATTATTCTTTATGACCACGTAGATTTCATAATGAAGGAAACTTTTTTTGCCAAACTTTATTATTATTCGCACGCTCGCATCAGTTTTGGGGTTCGCCAAAGGATGTCATCCATATAATCAAATCAACATTGCCTTGCTTACGTAGCAACGAAAAAAGATTCGGGATAAAACGTGTCCAATGACATGTGTTTATGTAGAGAAGATGTCGGCATGGCGACCACGATTCACCTCGGCTATCCACGTGTTTCCAGTCAATTTATCAGCGGTAACAAAAGCTCGGTACCGTCTGTAAACAGCGAAATCAAGCGGCATTCATCACATCAGCACGTGTCATACTTGATATGCCGTCGCCCGGGTATCTATCAGCTCCTGTAGTGTACGGGGAATAGGCCTAGGGTGTGTACTAATCGCCTCTATAGTCTAGAGGTAACTACATGGAGTGCAATCATTTCTTTCTCTGTAGGGTCACCATTTCACTGTTGGATTCTTTATACAATCAGCTGCATAGAATGCGTTTATATGCCCAAAGGGCAAGGTCGTTTTCTCTAATATATAATGTACTTTTCTTCCAAAGGGCAAGGTCGTTTTCTCTAATATATAATGTACTTTTCTTCTTCCTTTTCCTGTATTTCTTTATTTTTCTTCTTCTTTTCCCTGTATTTCTTTCATTGTACTGTCGATGTCAATATTTCTTGGTTTCCTTTATTTCTCGATTATGTTTTTGTTTTCTATTTTCTTTCTTTTCTTGTCATAAAGATTCATTTTAGAATGTTTATCTCTATTCGTTGTGGTCCTTATTTTGTTTCAGAGTTTCAGAATTTCCTTCCAAAAAGTCAAACCCTTGTCGTGGAACTAGAGAGATTGACGGGCATAAGCAATTGTTCTGCGATTCTTAGAGATGTTTTACTTAAAATTAGTCCCAAACATCACAATATCTCCGTCCACTTCACCGCTAACGAGTCAATATCAGCCGATGTGTGTGTCCCTCTGTCACTGGTAGGTAGGCATTTCGTCGGTCTTACAAGACCACTAAAGTACTTCATCTTATTTCTAAACCATGTACTTATTCTTGGTTTTGCGCTTACAGCGTCTCAGTTCTGATGCGAGTCTCTGGTAGGTAAGTCTTTGATTTAAGGTCGTTTGAAAACACCAAGACGTTTGTTGTAGGGGTTGGGGGTCAGTCAGGGTTAAGACGCAGACAGGTTTTTGGGGAAGAATTGCGCCTCAAGAACGCGCCGTGTTTCCACTGGGACAGGAGTCAGCTCTTTGATCTACGCTTTCCGTGGTCTTTGAAGATGGGCTTCACAGAGGAAACGGTCGGCTCAGTGTGTCATTAAGGGCGATTTATCGCACCAAGGGGGTTATGTAACCACCGGCCTTTGTTGACGCTATCGTCAGTGGAACCCCAAAACAGCAGGAGTTGGTTTTCATCTTCTAACTAGTACTAGTAATTACCTCGGCGGTGGAGATTGTGGATGCTTCCGTCTAGCCTCCGTAGCAAGCTATAGAACTGGGGGTTTGGTGGTCTTCGGCTGTTTTCTGATAAGCCCAGTTCCATTCAACCAGGCCGGCTATGTTGTCTATATGCAACCAGAAAATAGCACATGAAAGCTCCCAAAGACCCTGAAGACCCCAAAACCCCCCAGTTTTTGGCATGCTATGGAGGCTAGCTTCCGTCTACGTCTGTTTCAAGTTTGTGGTGGGTACGGGTATAGCTGGTGTAGTTTTGAGTCCGGATTTGGATGATCATGGGGTTAGCTATATGAGTAGTGAACTACACTGAAATTATCAGATTTTGACACCCTTGTGTTTCTAAACTACAGTACCGGGACTCGGCTTTTTTATTTCATAGAACAGAATGTATTGATCGGGTAAAATCCACAGTTAAGTTTCATTTTAGCTTCATTTTGGCACCATCTATAAGGGCAGTTTCAGAAAGAACTTACTAATCCCAACATGGGCGACCTTTGCTTAAGTTCAAGTTTAAAGGTCACAGTTTAAGAAGAACTGGCAGTGCTCAAAGAGATTTTCCCTGTTATGCCGAGTTAAGTAGACAACTTAGAGGTCATTTGGAGGTCATCCCAGTTGGGAATGTAGCCTCTCGGATCGCCGATTTTATAATAGGAGCAGGAGAGGGAGGGTGAAGCTCCTCAACATACAGTCAATTTTCTCCCCAACGTTTCGGCTGCTTTCAGATGCCTTCAACAGTAAAAGAAATATAAACAGCGGTTTTGTTGATAAAAGAGGACTGCAGGTATAAGGTGGCATGGTCATTATTCACTAAGTTTCCAAAACAATCTATCCATCCTTAGTTCCGCGAATATATAATTCAGGTAGGTGACAGGTACGATTCTTTACACCCTGAATCCCTTGAATGTTTTTGCTGATCTGTAGCCACCGAAATCTGCCCATTATCCCTGTACTGTGTACCGGTTCAATAACTCAATTGGTAAAGTGATCGCTGATTTGATTCTTGGTTCTCGGACTTTTTTCAAGAAAAATATGACAGACCGACAGGACGAAAAACAAATACAGAGCCAGGCATTTTGGAGTTTACTCCGAGAACTAATTAATTGAATTGTCGTGGCCTAACGTGTGATGGTAAACGCTCTCAGTGTCGCCGCCATGTAAAATTGCATCACACTTGCGTCTCATTCTTGCATCTCATTGTTCCCTATATATTTATATATTTATCCAGCGGCCACATAGCTGGTAAAAGAAGACTAAAAGGCCACCAAAGCTTCAAAATGATATACAACACCACGACCAAACTACTCAATATTCCTCTCTCACCCCGGCCTCTCACCCGTCCATGCCCTAATCATATTTGCGTTATTACAACTTGCGCTGACCCAGAAGTGTTCTGACAGTAATTATTTCATCTATCTTTACTCACGTCGATGCCGAGAGGACGGGCCCTCAATGTGGCCCCTGTCACTGCCACTAGTCCCACTTTACCGGCATCTTCTTACGGAGTGAGCGTGGGAGGGTTCCATGGCCGCCTTCTGTCACTCATATACCCAGCGAGCGCTGTCTTGTTTACATCATATACATGCAAATTATTTGAAGACATATGCAAATTATTGGTAGGCAAATCAGCCAGCCGTTACCCGCTTTTTGCCTCCCAGTTCCTGGCCGTGACGTCATGGCGATCGCTCGTATGTTTCATGTACTTGACAGTATTCTAGATTAATTGCATTAGCGTGTTTTTCGTGCACCACGTGTCCCTGCTTTAGTGCTATGTACCTCGGTGAATTGTAGATTGCAAATCAGATACTTATCATTGAACTTTATTTGACTGCAGATTGCAGTAGATTGCAAATCAGATAAAGTACTTATCGTTGAACTTTATTTGACTGCACCCCTGTTATGGAAACATTAGTGTTCATATATCGAGGATACAAATTCGCTACACTAATTTGAATTGATCGTTGCTTGCTGTTATAACGCTTGCCTTACCATTTTTGAGTTGATATCCGTATCATATCTGCATATTTATGGGTTCACCACACCACGAAGTGGTGGTGAACCCATATTGCTTTTTCTGATGTTTCTTCTCCTCCTTCTCCTCCTTCTCCTTCTTCTCCTGCCATTTTTTAAATGGATTCAGCTTCTTCATT